AAAAAAAAAAAAAAAGAGAAGAGAAATAAGTCGAGGATGTGGTAACGAGAGCATAGCAATGAACCTTTTGGGATAGAAGGGCGCGGACCACCTGGTTGGCGACGTCGTCCAGGCACCGCTCGTACTGGCGACGCTGAGCGTCCGCGTCTCGCGCCAAGGCGGCGTGCTCCGTTTCCAAGGTCGCCAGACGTGCCACCAACGCAGCGTGCACCTCACCAGCGCATGCAGCCTCCAAACCGCGCAGCTGACCCCTCATCGACTCGTTCTCCAGCTGCAGCTTCGAGATCTGTGCCTGATACTGGTGTACGCGTGTCTGTTCGCAAACAAAGAAACGAATCAATCAGTCTTTCTAAACTTTGAACTTGTACGTTCGAATAGCCAATAATGTGGTTGTACTGTACTTCTATTATTTTATTTTTAACGTGGTTTCGATGTGGTCGATGATCACCAACGAAAACTTATTTTATATATTACATACCAACCTGGTGGATAAATTTCTCAAGATACTTGGTGCAAAGAAATAATAGTTTCTTGGATATTTCATGAATGACGTACGAGACGATTGAGGAGAGTCATATCAGTGTCATCGAGAGATCGGCAATATGGCGACAGCTGGAAGAAGTTTCGCAGCCAAATGCAGTTTCCTCGAGAAACTCGGGTGCAGTTGGCTGCCAGAGTTAATAACACGAGCGGTCGTTATTAGCAGAAAAGCGTTTAACGTTAAATTAGGGCTGTGGAGACCTGTCGGAGACAGGGGCGCTAATAGAGGGTGCGTGTGTCTGATTTATAACAGTCGTGCCAGCCAGCCGGCCCCTTGGTAATGTCTACACCCCCTTTTTCTTTCGAAACTGAGGCAACGATTTTCTGTCATCTCTAGCGGCGAAAGCAATGGGAAAATAAAAATACAAACTGCCCGCTTCTTGGAATTCCTCCTGCAGCGCGTCTTCCCGCCATTCCCTAATTTATTATCGTGTCCGACAGCTGCGAGTCTCTAAATCACACGCATCGGGAACGGGGAAATTTCTAATCTAACTACTGGTGGAGCCAGCACCATCACCACGGTTGCCAGAGCGAGACGTATTGGGGGAGAACTCGGAGGAATACACGAGCAGCAACGATTACGAACACGATTTTCAGTAAATTTCATTCACTTTATTAACTTTTTCTTTCGCCAAGTATAACTATCAAGCGTTTGTCAATCGTCAAAGTACCTCAGTTAGAGAATACGAGCAAAGTAGCCACTGAAATTTTTGACAAATTCAATCGAATCTGTCAGTCGAAAACAACTTTGCCAATGGAGCTAAGAAAGAAAGCTCGTCGATAATGCAAAACTCACTAGTGTTTCTCATCCTATCCAGGAGGAAAATTCCATTTGAAACGGGTTTTCGTCGCAGAGAAGGGAGGTTGTACGCATCGAAAGTAAAATCGAACGGTTACAGGAGAACACTTGCAGACATTATACACTTCCTCATAGCCGGTCGAGGGATTTTTAGGAGGGGGAGGGAGGGTTGGCATCGGTAGGGCGGTACGACATTGAACCAGGGGATCGAGTGACGATCGATAATAAACGGTATTTCGTGGGGCAGTGATGCACACCCCTCGCGCTCTGAATCTACGACTCTTTTAGAAGCAAACCGGCCGTGAACGAGATAGTGCGTGGCATTCTAAGGGTTCGCAGCAAACGCGATCGTTTACCGTTTCCTCCCCTTTTCATTGCGAAACCGGCCGCGCTGCGTTACTTCGTTAAGTCGGGACAAATATCAGTCGTTGGCAAATATGTGGCGAAACTATCGTCATTTTGCTCAGGCACAAGCACAAAATTTGGAAATTTCGTTTTCCGCTCACTTCGCGCAAAACGTTAAATTTCTGAACTATTTGTATTTGACATAGCTGGAATTTTAAAAGGTACTTTTAAAGGAAATTGTGAACTGTGATCGAAATAGGCCAAAGGGTAACTTCCGTGGTTCGTAGTGTGTTATATATTCTTGATTTTCTACCACGAAATACGAGTATAAATTATTACTCTGTACTACTACTATGGAGTATATATATTATATATACTACTATACTATATATACTAGATATTACTCTATATAAAGTATCTGAGTTAATTTCAAACATAAACATATCGTAAAGAAGTGAAGATTGAAAGTTGAAAAATTTTTAATTTCATACATGAAAATTATGTAGCTGTGGGAGAAATTTCAATATAAAGTCTTTCTTAAATATATTTCATTTCAAAGATAACAACGTCCCATCTTACAGGGAGTTGTAGATTAAATCAAATTCCAAATGTGAAGTGGAGAAATCTGATCGATCAAAGGACGTATGTACGTCGAAAAGAATATCCTCGATCGCATCGATCGAGCGGAGTAAATATCGCGTCCTTCGGGCCAGTGTCGCTTCACGGATCGAGAGTACCGGATAAGAGGACGAAATAAATTGCGTTACGTGAATTCAACGGTAAACCCAGCCGTCCCCGCTTTGTGTCGCTGCCAGGAACAATAGTACATGACAACGTCAGTTGAAATACAATAACAGACTGTTGGTTCACGCTACGAGAGCACTGTTATTGGACCGGGGGAGAGCTTTTTACCAGAGTGTCATAGTGCCTCGACTTCTGTTTACGAAAACACAAAAAAATAAAAAAAAAAAAAAAAATGAAAAATACAGAAAGAAAAAAAGAGAGAAGGAATATTGCTGAAACAATAAACTCTGTTGGAAACTTTATTCGATCGACTGGAGAGTTTGGCAGTCTCTTCGTTATCCGTTCGTGCTTATCGACGACGGGACCAATGATTAAATCGAAGGGGAGACCATTTTGCTTTTCATTTCACCCTGTGAAATTCGCCGAACCGTGTACAAAAATCGGACGAACCAAACTCGAAGTAATATAAATTTAAGGAGGATATTCTTGAACTCTTGCGAATGATAATTGAAACTCTTGCACTTGTTTCGATGTAACACCAAATATGACCAATTGTGTCGGACGATCGTGGTCCTCAGGAGTCGCAAGTGTCAATGTCACGATGGATATCAGTTTAAGTAATGAAAGAGAAACTATGGTAATTGTTCGATAATGTAATATCCTCGAAAAGTTTGAAAATATGACGTTTACCATTGAAAAAAGTCTAAAAATTTATACGGACAAAATTTGGAAATGTACATAAAAGTTATAAGACAAAATATCTCAGTGTTTCTCGAGACGGATAATTAAACGATCTAAATACTTTTCTCGAAACTTTACTAATGCTCAAACTTCAATGTGCTTCGCACAATGTAAATATACATTATATAAATCTCTATAAATAGTGTCGAAATACTTTTGCGAGTCATATATTGTAAATATAAATTCGTAGTTAATTCACGTTACCGGTCGGAACACTCCTCTCAAGTTTCGTTCTTCTGTCATCTTGTTTCACTTCTGATACATTTTTAACGACGAAACTTTCCCGTGGAGATCTTACCTCGTAAGAGAGTGTGAGCGCAGTTTTCTCTTGCTTCAGCTGCTCGGCCCTGTGCTTGTGCTGCAGCAACCCCCGTGACGTCTCCTCCATCCTGAAACAAATCGAATCCGCTTGAAGAAGGCAGTCCAGTTTTAATTCTCGTTGAAAAGATTCTAATTGAATCGAAGCTCCTCCCCCTTCCCTTCTCTCGTTCAATCCCTTTGCCATTGTTGCGCGTGTTTCAATCGGTTCCAACGTGCTAATTCTATCATAAAATATTAATATACTTTGCTATACTTGGAATCCAATGTTCGAGGCGACGAATAAAATGTCACATAAAAACGGAAGGAAAGGGGAACGTTTGCGTGCGAAATATTCGTCCTTTGTTTTCACGCGGCGCTTCACGGTTGAACGGTTTATAAAATTAAACGATCGTTTCGCAGCTAGCGCCGGTGTGTTATCGTTCTGATTACGGAGGTGAGAAATTGTTGCAAAAGGGAGAACGTAATGGATACAGTTGTGAAACACGCTGTCACAGCTGCGTCGCGGGTAAAAAATGGCTCTCATTTGGAAGACAGTTGCCACTACACTACGCCACAATTTCCACCCTTTTACCCTCCTTCCGTTACGAGTTACCTAAACTTTAACCATCTGTCGTGGAAACCATTCTCTCTATCACCGTAACGATAATACCTCAGACGCGCTTTTACAATTCGTGCGTCGGTACAGTAGAATTAAATATATAATGCTAATATTAATTTAACATTTATCGAGTTCTGTTTCAATATCGTAGCTGTAAAAAGAAATCTCAACGATTTAGTTAGCATTTTCTCATCCCGTTATTCCTTTCACCTAGTATTTTATGAAATTTCAAAGAAGTTGAAGTGCTTGCACTGCAACGATGAATTCCATTTCCTGAATATTTCCAATTTATATATTCAACGTGTAAATATAATACTATGCATTTACATAGAAATATAAAAATATAAATATGAAACGGAATAATACAAAATGTAACATAAAATTATATATTTGTATACGTTTGAATTCGTAATTTTAACTCGTATATTCAATTAATTTTAAACAACTAAATTAACCATACTGGAGAAGAGAATTTCAGGAAACGAAACATTTGCAAGGTATAATACATCGCGTAGAAAAAGGAAAAGATGTGAGAAAGAATGGTAGCGAGAATATCGCCACCAAGTTTAGAAGCATTTGCAGTTCTAACCTAATAACTCGAGAGTTTTTATCGACAAGTGTGCGCGTTTACGCGCGAGGGAAAAAAGAAACGGAGAAAAAAAATCGCGGACCCCTCGTCGTCCGATGTTGATTCGATTATCCATTCTCCTCGCGAGGAGCCGCGCGGAGGAGCCAGGAGGTTCGCGACAAATTTCTTCATGCGCACGCTCCGCGGGCTTAATGATCTGATTAGAGATACAAGAGGGTTCTCCGAGGGCTGAGATATGAAGCCGATTTAAGTATTTCGAGGGAGACGAGCCGAGGGCGAGCCTCCAACACGCCTGGCAACACCCTTCTCTCGCTTGTTCCTCCCCCAAATGCGTTCTTCATCCTTCGAGCCTCTTTCGAAACTAACTTTCCAACTAACTGCACGCTTCTTGGAGCGTCCCGATGTCCGATTGTTTCCCGTCGTGGCAGCCATCTGCAGGAACGCGGAAGGCTTTAATGAAGATTAATTGACAATTACCCGGCGATACGCTCCGCCGCGCCCCTTTCTGCCAGCCACGATTTTTTTCGCTGGGAAGATTAGCTTTCGAAAAGGGAGAAATTCGTGAATTCTTTGAGCTCGATGACGAGCTGTTGGCTGAGTTTTTGACAGCGCGTGTTGCGAAGAGGCTGAGTAAAATTTATCGATCGTGGAGCGTTCCTCAGAGGGTGAGATTTTAATTTTATTTTATATTCTTATACAAAATTAAATATATTATATGTTATATAAAGTTGAAATATCGTATAATACGTTTTAATAATTTCATTTTATTGTTATTTTATTTTATAATTTCAACCACTTGCGCGCTGGCAACTGATTGCGGACCATAACGAGTGACCAAACCGTATACAATAATTCGTCGCTTTCTTCTTCTTAAACTCGTCGGTATGATATCAGAATAGAAGATAGAAATTATTGAGAAGTAATAATGAATTTATTATTTGTTTTGCCTGAGTTATACATAAATATACTCAAAACTGAGAAAATATTGCAATATTGTTCCAGCGCAAGAGGTTAAGTAACTACGATCGACGATGTTTGAATCATAGTATTTCAATTAGATCCACGATTATCAGTGCGACAATGTAAGACGTTAAACAATACACAAACAATAAATTCTATACCGAAGAAACTGGAATCACAAAAGCGAGTGAAAGCAAAGTTTAAATAACTGAAAGAATTTTTAATCCCTCGTGGGAATTTAAAAAAAAAAAAAAAAGATACGAATCGTATTAATATCGCTAATCAGCGTTGCAGGAGTGGAAATTTCTCACTTCAGAATTTTCTTAAAGGTCTGTAAGACTAGAAGTTTAAAACTCTGTTGAAGAGAAATCTTTCTAGCGGACAAAGGAGTCGGACGAACAATAACGCGGAGGTTTTAGAATCAATTAAAGAGCGCGATCAATTCCGAAGTTTGTAATTAAGTCGAGTTCGAGAGAGAAACTCGGTAAGCGGCTGATCGATTTCAATTGTTTCTCGGTGTGGAAACGCGCCTGGACGACGTTATTATCGTTCGTTTTTCCCTCCGGGGTGAGTCGTCTAGCTCGGAGAGGCTCGTTTGTGTACATATCGGATCGCGGAAAGAAAGTCCGCGAATAAGCTGATTGTCTCGGCTGAACTTGCTTGTTCAGACTCCTGGATCGTGTATATTCAAGGAGTTCGAGGATGTTAATCGGCTTAAAAGCCCTCTCGTTAAAGTTCTCAGTTTACCTTAACTCTTATCGTGCTTCCGAAACGATTATGAAAATGAAGGTTCGGCAAAATTGAACCGACCGATCGGCCTTAAACGCAGGATAAACCGTCCGTCTTTATTAACGCGTCCGCTGGAAACGTGACAACGTCCTCACGGCGGCAGCCATCTTATCTCGTTATCGTCCACGCTTCCCTACTTTTTTCGCGCTCGTCTCGTTTCCATCTCGTTTCCACTCGATACTTCTTAGAATCTTCCCCGATGCGAGACGCGCGCCAACGAAAGGGTTTACCCGAGTTTAAATCGTAATTGGACGTTTCGTTCGAAGTAAATACTTTATTCTTCTCATAAACTCTCATAAATTCTCAGCTATCTTTGACTTTAGAACAGCTGACTGTAGATTATTGATTTAAAAGATATTTTGAATATAACGCGATACAGTTTAGGAACTCGTAGGAATCTTAAACAGAAAAGTGTAGATGCAGATTGTGAAATATATTTTCCCTGAAAAAAATTAAACTCTGGTTGAAAATTTTCTTTCTAGCAAACTCTCTAAAAAGTAAACTCTAGTAAAAAATTTTCAAACTTTAGCAAACTCTAAACTCCAAGTTAAAAATTTTCAAACACTGGATTACTGCATAAGTTTGAATCTACGAATTTTTGATTCTCCGAATCTTTCAATGTTTTGAACCTCTGAATAAATAACGATGACTGCGTGTTATCAAGTCAAGTTTTTATTATGCAAAGGAGTTTACACGTGCAGCTGGAGAATATACTCCACTTGCGGGGGTAACGTAATAATTCAGGAAGTAACATTTCCCCATTTAGAGTTTTACTCGGCGGTCGATCCCAATTGTGAAATGGGGAAGGACTTTCCTCGTAACTTATCAACTGGGGTGCCATTTCAGGCGCCAGGCTTAAGAACAATGCTCCGCAAACAGTAATTATAAGTGCAAACAGAAGAGCGATTGTCAGCGGGCACGATGAATAATCAAGATTGCAGACCTTCTCTCTGCGCATCGCCCCTTTATGCTCTTCCTCGAAGATTCCGCGGATTTCGTTCAACTCCATGAAATTCAAATAGAGCCTAACTATCGAATTAATTGACTCTGCTCAGAATCGAGACTTCAATTCGGATTTAGAATGAAATTCCAAAACCTTTGATTTCAAATTTAAATTCGAGGGTCGAAGATTTGATGACTCGAACATTCAAAGATTCAGTGGTTCAACGATTCAAACTCTCAAGGGGTAAAAGATTCAAAAATTCAACGATTCAACGATTCAAATATTTAGAGATTTAGAGATTTAAGGATTCAGAGATTCAATGATTCAACGAGTCAACGACCAACAATTCAAAGATTCAAAAATTCAAAGATTTAGAGGTTCAGAGATTCAAAGATTCAAACATTCAAAAATTTAAAGATTTAAAGATTCACAGATTAAAAAATTCAAAGATGCAGAGATTCAAAGATCAACGATTCAACGATTCGAAGATTCAGAGATTCAACGGTTCAAAGGTTCAGAGATTCAGAGATTTAAAGATTCAAATATACAACATTCTACGCTGACACAATATCGAAATTATTTCAAAAACTTCGCAAATCCACTGGGATCAAAATACGATCCCGAGGGAACGCTAGACGCAACTGATACGTGACACTGGTAACAGATTCCGAAAGCGTTAACACAATTTACCTCGAAAGTTCGTGCTTTCGCGTATTCGACACGGCCTCGTCGAGGCATCCGGCAGCTTCTATCAGCTTCCAGCGGAACACGTGGCACAGGCCAGCCGTTTCTCGTGATTTACGACTATTGCCTTGCAAACTTGATTATAATGATGCAGGAACACCGCGCGCGCCGAATTATATCGCGGAGCCGCGTGCAGCCGGACTTTCATTAAACGATAATCATCTTCCGCTCGGAACGACCGGAAACCGCTGGGGACAATGCGCCTTCCATTCATTGTCTCCTCGTGTCGTGCCTCGCCTTCTTATCGCTCCGTTCCGAATAGTTTTTTTTTCTTTTTTTCTTCCTTCTTCTTCTTCTTTTTTTCCACGCGGAGAACGCAGTCGTGGCTGAAGAAAAAAAGAGAAGTTGGCGACCGTTTGACGCTCCGCAGAGAGCCGTGAAATTTGCTCGGGGATTTAATTAAAGGAGAGAACAAACGCGTTTCTCGCGTTGCCGTTGGCATATT